ATAATATCTATTATATTCCATCCCATGAAACTTTTATCTCCAAGGATGTTATCTTCTATGAAACCACTTTCCTTTCAACATTTTACCAGGTAGTGATGATGACAATGACCATTCTAGCATAGTTCATGATATGTTTCTACACTTCCTCTACGTTCTGTTGATGGTATTTTAGACTTCCCACTACCTAGTGATCAACCCACAACTCTTCCACCCTCCCCAGTTCCTCCTACATCACCCAATGATTCACAGTATTCCCATACACCTTCCTCCCCTCCAAACATAGATTCTTATCAATCAATCAGCCCACCTCCATCTCCGCCACCACTTCCTCTCTCAACCTCAAAGATCAGATAGGCAAACCAAACTCCTAACTTATCTAACCCAAATTTTTATCTTCTCCAACAATTAGGCAGTTCCAGTCCATCTACTTCTCTTCAAGTTCCATAGACAAGGTACTCCCTCTTCTAGCTCTTTCTTATAATCTTTTTGCTCCTTGTCACAAACCATTTGTCCCGAGTATATCTACTCATCAAGAACCTATAGTAATTACAAAGAAGCTTCTCAATAAGTTCAATGGTCAGTTGTTATGAACAAAGATCTAGGGGCTTTGATTAAAAAAAACATGAGATGTAGTTAACCTTCCTAAAGGCAAGAAGACAATTAGTAACAAATGGGTGTTCAGAGTTAAGTTTAACTCCAATGGATTTGTGGATCATTTTAAGGCCAGACTTGTGGATAATGGTAACACAAAGTAAGAGAGAGTGGATTATTAGGATAGTTTGGCTTCAGTCATTAAAATAACCACAATGAGAATTTTTTGGCAATTGCAACTATCAGAAGTTGGAAATTTCACCAGTTGAATGTGAATAATGCATTCTCCATGGTGATCTCTAGGAAGAAGTATACATGAACCTTCCTAAAAGGTACACACCACCAACTAGCTTTCACAATCTCGTGTGTAGAATCAGAAAGTCCTTATATGACCTGAAACAGCCTTCTAGGCAATTGTTCTCTAAGTTGTCAGATAAGTTGTCTCAAGATGGTTATATACAAAGCAAAGCTAACCATTCTCTATTTTTGAAGGTGATATATTCCAGTTATACTTTCATCCTTATATATGTTGATGATTTGGTAATCGGAGGTAATGATTTGACTAAAATCACCAGATTGAAGACTTCTCTTCATTTAGAATTTAACATTAAATTTCTAGGCACACTCATATTCTTTTCTGGCATTAGAGTGACTCATAATACAAAGAGAATTCATCTCTCCCAACAAAAACACATTCTGGAAATCATTGAAGAAGCTCATATCTTGGATTGAAAAGCTATTTTCACCCCTATGGATTACAAACTTCATATCAACAGTGAATGTCTTACACCCTATGAAGGTCCAGAACACTATAGAACCATTTTTGGCAAACTCTTCTATCTAACCACTACTCGACCTGATATTAGTTATGCAACACATTAGTTAGTTCATGGCCAATCTTAGCACTATACACTACAAATTTGTTGAAAGAATTTTGTGTTACCTTAAGATTTCCATGTGATGACTTGATATATACACATGTTTTTGTCCACCATTCTTGTATCGTTTGAGTCTTATTTCTCGTGTTTTAGGCCGATTTCACGCTAGGTCGTTCTTGTTTGTGATATTTCAGATCCTAGTAGGTGAATGAAGGTTTGGGAACCAGTTCGGGGTCGATTGGACGAAGATTGGACGTTTGGCGAGAAGCTGAAGAAGCCACACGGGCACGCCTAAAATTCCACACGGTCGTGTGACTTGGCCGTGTGGCACCACTTTGCACGGGAAAATCACACTGGCCGTGTATGGGACCCCTTGTGGCCGTGTGGAAAGTCCAAGGAGCTCACACGGCCAGACTGGAAATCCACACGGCCGTGTGCCTTTGGCCGTGCAGCGTACCTGAAGTCCACTAATCGAAATGCGGTGTTTTGACATCCACACGGGCAGACTGGAAAACCACACGGTCGTGTGGCCTGGCCGTGTGGTCGGGAAATTCTGGATTTTAACCCAATTTCGAGCCAAAGGAAAGGGGGAGCTGGGTTTTGGATCCCAAACACCCTAAGGATGAACCAAAGAGAGAGAGGGCGATTTGAGAACATTCTTGGAGTAGAATTGGAGGATTTCTTTGCCTTGGAAGCTCGACAAACAAGCCCAGACTTGAAGACTGATCATCTGAAGATTCTTACTACAGTCTCTCTCTTCTCTATGGAGTAACTTCCCTTCACTTAGGTTTTGAGGAATCCTAGCTATGTTTGTTTGATTGGATGATTGTATGAGTACTCTTACTTGATAATCTTGATTTCATATTCAATCTATGCATGTTTGCATGATTCAATTCTGCTTTAGTCGAGATTATTGATTCTCCTTTGATCCTATGAGAGCGAATACCTGATTAGGTCAATAGAGCACCATACATTGATAGTATTGGATCGATTGCTTTAGTCGAGGGTTGATTCAATACTTTGTATCGATTGAGAACCTTATTCGATAGAGGGAATTTAGTTTAGAACGTCTTGATCGGTTGTTCTAGAGAAGGTGACGTCCCTCTAGGCAATTGACTCAAGAGGGCCTTGATCCTTTAGTCGAGATTCAAGGTTTAGTCAAGGATTCTCCGCATTGTAAATAAAAGTGAAACAAGTTAGAGATCATCAACCATTAAGCTGGCTAGTGGCTAGGAGAAATCATACATAAGTGAGTTCCCAGCCTGTAATTAGATTAACTTTAACTGTAGTTTGTTAGAGTAGTTTTAGTTCTTCCATCTTAATCTGGTTTGCTAGATAATGAACTGACGCTGAGTAATAGTAACTCTAGAGACCCGTGGATTCTATATTTATTACTTGAGCCACTATACTGCAGTCCCTTTCATTGGTTACACTTGGCCATTGTTAGGAGTTGTGTCAAAGCGAGTCACCCTGCCACTCGTTTATTCTTACCAAGAATAGGTTCTTTGCAACTCAAATCTTTTACAGATTCGATAGCCTCTGTTGACACCCATTGCTGTGTCTCAGCAACTGTGTTTATCTTGTTGAATCTATCATCTCTTGGAAAAGCAAGAAACATAAAACCGTCTTTCGCTCCTCATGCAAAGTAGAATATCGAGCTCTTGCTTTTACAGTTTGTGAACTTCAATAGCTTATTTATTTACTTGCTTACTTTCAGGTACCTCATCCACAAGCAACAACTCTGTACTGTGAGAATCAAGGTGCTATGTATATTGCGGAAAATCCAACCTTTCCTAAGAACCAAACATATCGAGCTGGATTGGCATTGGGTTACGTTCATATGAAAAATTGTAGTTGCGGATCATCAAACGCCCCCGTGTCTCTTCTAATCATCAGCTTGTAGACCTTTTCACCAAGCCTTTATCACTTGCTCCATTTCACTATGATCTCTCCCAAGCTTGGTCTGCACAATCTCTGCCCACCAGCTTGGGCGCAGGGAGGTTAGGAATGGAATTCAGAAAAAATCGATTGTTGATGGAAAATTGACACTCATTCAAGATGAAGAAATGCTCTGTTCTCAAGACGATGTGTTTCCACCTCTGATTTCCCAGTAGTTGAAGTATTGCATTTTAGATCATCAAAGCAATGTATTTTACTTCTCATTTTCTTTTCTACAAAGTTTGTACGTAATTGTTCCCTTTTCAAGTTGAAAAATACACAATCACAAACAACAAGCCATGGTTGTCCAGTAGCGGCTTGAGCAGACTATATATTATAAGAGATGATTGAGAAAACCTTCGGGCCTTAGGGTTTCATTTTTTATCAACACTTTTGTTAGAGACTAGTGACTACATAGGTTCTTGTATAATCCCTTTCATCATATTTTATAGTTACCATTCAATTCCATAACAATTCCTTCACTGACAATCAACTTTGAAACTGTTCTTGTCTAATCCCCCTTCCATCATAACTATAGGGGTAAATTGCAAATCTTGTCATTGGGATTGCTAAATTGTTACACGTTTGACAGTAAAAAAATTATTTTATCCTATTCATAGTCACTAAGATTAGTTTAATAATCAAAGTCCGATAATTGGTCATTACCTTTCTTCAGTCTCCATTAATGGCGTCAAATTTTTGGTGACGCGGCTAACAAAATCACCTAGTTAGCCAAAAAAATGTATACTCAACCCATCACATCATTAAAATCCCAACCGAACCTTCCTTCTTGACTCGCCCTACCTAAAAATAGGAGAATCCAAAAACTGCTAATTTTCTTTTTCTACAATTTTTGTCTTCTCCAACTCAACATCCCTATGTTTCTTTTATTCCTTAAATATAGAGAGAATTGAATCCCCATTCCTAAAGTAAGCAAAGTTGAGAGAGATTTGGTAGTTGGATGGGTGGTGATAATGAAGAAAGAGATGGTGGTTGCAATGGTGGCCGGGGCGGCTATGGGTTGCACTATTGCAACAACAGATGTGTTGGTCTGCCAAAGGGGTAGACCGACAACGGGAGAATGTGAGCGCGCAGGGGCTAGCCCGTTTCAGTGGGTTGCTGAGCTCAATTCATGAGTTGTCTCATTTTTAGCAAATGAGTTGGCTCGGGGTGTGGCTAGCTAGCCAGCTTGACTAATAGTTTATGAGCAAAGTGTATGAGTTTTATTGTCGATAATTCATATATTTGTTAGCTTATATATCTCACCTCATATGATGTTTAATACATTGAGTACATAAACAAATATATCTAATTTATAATTAAAAAATAAGTCATGTACCATAGATTTCTTATATACTAATTACTATCAAATAACATTATATGAATATTATTATATCTGAACTCGAGTAGTCAACTCGTGAGCTCAAGAATGATCCGCGAGCTCGAGTCAAACACTAGCTTAGGTTTAAGTAAGCAAACCAAACTCGAACTCAACTTCTTTATTAGAGAGTTGAACCCGACCTGAGTGAAAATTCATCTTGACTCGACTCATTTACAAGCGTAGCTATAATCATCTTAAAAAGAATTCGTACGAGAAAATAATTACTTTTATTATACATTTTTTTTGGATTATACACTAGCTCCAAGAAACTGAATATCCCTGACTCCGCCGTCGTGCCCTAAACAAAACTAGAACAAGGCAGGGATCATCATCTATCCAAGGAGCCAGAAAACAAAAAAGAGAGAAACAACAAACATATTATGCTTACCACTAAAACACTCCAAAACCCAGCTTAAGATGAGCCCAATAACTCAATGGTTGAACTCATCCTTTGGGGCTTTACCTCTTCAAACTCCATAAACACAACAATACCTTTCCCTACTATATACACACATACCCCTACCAGCAAAAGAGTTAAAAAAATTAATTAATAATTAATTATTATCCTCCAATTAATTAAGACCCTCGTTCCATTCTCCAACACCTTCACTTCACTTCATGAAGCCAATTCCCATGGCCATTGGAATCCCCGTTTCCACGATGAGCATCGCCATTGTTGTCAAGAATCACGACCAACCCTTCTTCTCCTTCTTTATCTTTATCTTTATCTTCATCAACACAATGAATCCCTGAAATCCTCTCAAGGAAACAGTCGAACTCTTCCTCCCGACCAATCATAGTGATCCGCGTGTACCTATTGCTCGCCCCAAATGTCTCCCCTCCCCTCGTCAGCACATTGTTCGCCTTCATCAATGCCGATGCATCGCACCCTTCCTTGCACTCTAGCCACCCAAAAGCTGCCCGCCACACACACACGAATCACATGTTCAAAATAACGATTGTAATACGATGCACACGATACGTACTATACAATACATTAAATTCAAGTAAATGATTTATTTTTTTTTACCAGGAGCAGGCTGGAAATATCTCCCACTGAAGTTGCAATACCGTTTCGGGTACTTTGGCAGACCAAACACATCTTTCCCCTTGACGACTTCCCTCAGCTTCTCCCACCTCCCGGCCATCACCTTCCTACACTCGCCGAAGAACGTCCTGTCCGCGTCATCCCCGCCGTAACCGAACGCCCCGGCTTTACTCTCGCAGTCGTCGGCCACCACTTGAAGGATCTTGGCGGCTTGCAGCTGGGAATCCTTGGATACCCCGATTGTCGTGATCTGCATGAACGACGTCATCTTCTGCGCCACAGCCACGTCCTTGACCAGTGCCCAGCCGATCCTGGAGCCGGCGTGCCCGGTGCACTTGGTGAGGGTGAAGAGCATGATGTCATTGTCGGCGGGGCGGGTGATAGGGGTGTAGTTGGGCCAGTAGTAGGCCAGGTCGTGGATCAGCTTCCCACCGTTCTCCGTCTTGTTCGCCACCATTGCTTCACGGAGGCTGCCGTCCGGGTTGTTCGGTGACGTCACCACCTCGATGAACGGCGCTGTCTTGTCCTCGTCGTCGTACGTTTTAGCGTCGCCGCCCCATTCGTACAGTCGGGATTGCAGCAACTCCACCTGCTCCTTGTATTGCTATACATACAAATTCAAACAAGCAATATAACTGTTACATAAGAAATAACTATTACAACGTAAAATGATCGTTTATTACGTAAGGCTTCATTACGTAAAATGATCGTTTATTACGTAAGACTTTCGTAATGACACTATTACAACTGTTCCGTAAAATACACACTCATTACGTAAAGTTCACGAACAACAGTTATTTCTTAAGTAACAGTTATATTTGAAGCGTTACGTAAAGATTACGTAATGACTTAACACTTTACGTAATGCATAGTGAATATTCATTACGTAAGAAGACCGTCCATTACGTAAGGCTTCCGTAATGACCTTTTACAACTGTTACGTAAGATAAGAATATATTACGTAACCATTACGTAACACATGTTGTGTTTTACGTAATGCGACCTATGAAACCTGCTATAACAGGTAAAAATATTCAAGTCACCTTACTTCAAATCACCATAGGAAATCCCAATAAAGAGTCAATCAATTATATACCTAAAAATAATGAAATGCGTATATACCTAAATTTTTTAGGCCGAGCATGTTCGATTCGAAATTGCTGGATGCACGTAAAAAGTGTGAATTATAAAATATCTCACATGAAGTGTTTTTTCTTTCACGTTAGACTATGTCAAACGACGATGGGCAATAACAGAATTGAACGGTGTTTGAGTTTCTCACCGAGTAGTAAGGAGCGGCGCAGACGACTTTCATGGGCTGGGCGACGGCAGCGGAGGAGGAGGAGAGGGCGTAAAGCGCCGCCTGAAAGAGGACGGTGGATCCCGTCCCGACCACCACGTGGTATCCTTCTGTGCGGGCGTTCCCCACGATCCGGTGGACCCTCCGGATCGCTTCCTGGAGCTCCGGCTCCATGTACCAGCACACGCTGTGAGGGTCCGAGAAGTAGCTCAGCGACTCGTGGCCGGAGATGGTGATCGTGCACTTGCCGCCGTTCTTCTTCCAGTACGGCTCGAACACCGACGGATCCCCGCTGCGCGTAGGAACCACATTGTGTTTTGTTAAATTACATATCTGACGGGAAGGGAATAACAATGCATTCATATGAGAGAATATTAATTATTTAGCGTTACCGGTCAAGATTGATGACGGGAGACTGACGGACAGTCGCCGGCGGTGGCTTCACCGTTGTTTTTAACGTCGTCGTATTAGGGTTGCGGTCGAAGTTGTTGCTATGGTACCAACGGCGCCATTATTGCTGTTGTTGTTGTTGTTGTCGTCGGCATTGGTACCATTTCCGTTGCTACTTGTATTATCAAGCTTCTTTCCTCCCATGTTTCTCTCTTTTTTGAACAGCTAGCTGATGAAACTCTCTTCTATTTTGTGGTTATGCTTTCTTCTTCTCTGCTTTTCGTTGGAGTGGCGAGTGAAATGAGTTAGAAGAGGGACGATATATATACAGGCCAAAGTGAGAGAGAGAGAGAGAGAGAGAGAGAGAGAGAGAGAGAGAGAGAGAGAGAGAGAGAGAGAGAGAGGCAAAGTTGGAATTCAATTTGTTTTTGTAATTGTGAGGTGTTTCGTAGTTGATTGCTCTTCTATGTTGGGCGCTTGTTCTTATTTACTATAATTGTCTCTTAGTTACTGTTTTTTGTTTTCCACTATATATGAACAAGAGCTTGTATATTAGTACTTTAGTAGCAAGACGATGGATTAGCCGTAGTATCGAAAAGATAAAAGAATTATCGACGATACTTGAAATAGAAATCTGTGATTAAGAAAATATGGTAAGATTGTGACGATTGTAACATCGTAGTGTGGTGCATATCATGAGTAGGAGGTTACAAGTTTGACTAGGAAAAAGTACGATGTTGTAGTTAATTAAATGCTTAATTAGATATTTAAGAGCTACTAAGGTTTTATTATGGAAGGGAAATGAAGAATACGAGGGAGTATTTATTACTAGTTTGTTGACTGTATCTAGTCATCATTAATATAAATGTATGTATATGCATATATGATGAAGATTCCAAACATATATGCGTGGTTGACCTTTTTTTGGCCGTATGTGCCTCCTGCCTCATAGTTGTATAGTATACATGAAAAGAGAATAAGATTAAGGAAGTTCTCTTATTAGTGGCCTCACTTAATTAATTAAGTTCTTGTTTTTCATGGCAGTGATAGTGGTCAAACATGTGATAGTTGAATTTTAGTTATATTCAGTTTGTCAATCGCTTAAAAATCGATGGAATCTTCGAATATGCCAAAAAATTCCAACAATTACCTTTTGGTATTGGCGAGATATTTTGTGGCACCATCTTCTGAAAATAGCTAAACATCAACGAGTTCCTGGGAACCGGAACAAAACATTTTCAACAGCTGATTTTGCGTGAAACCTATGAGTACGGTACGTTGTTCTGTTTTTGTTTTGCCAAAAGTAGACAAATATCTCGAATATGCTACGCTAGATCCTCTTTGGTTTTTTTGGCAACCAATTCATCTAATGGTAAACCTTTGTAATCGCAGTGAAATACTCTAAATTTATTTAAGGAACTAGTTTCTTTGTATTTTACAAGGAAAAAGGACTTCAGTTTAGTTAAACTAGTTGACTAGCTAATAATTGCTTCTAGAATTTGCTTATTTGTACGTATATATTATGATAAATCTTTTCGAGATTGATCTATACACAAATGTTTCAGAATGTTTTTTCTAGTACACGTGATAGTTGAATTTTAGTTATACCCAAATACATAATGTTGATTACTCAATAGATCTTCTTCAGCTTATCAATCACTTGAAAACCGATGGAACCTTCGAATATGCCAAAAAATTCAAATCATTACCTTTGGGTGTTGGCAAGACATTGTTGGCGTAATAATAGTGACCATCTAGTTAAAATAACTAAGATCAACTAGTTTCTAGGAACCGTAACAATACATTTTCAGTAGCTAATTTTGCGTTAAACCGAGTATGTTACATTGTTGTGTTTTTTGTTTTTTCCGAAAGAAGGAAAATATATCGAATATGCTACTGCTAGATTCTCTTTAGTATTTTAGCAACCAAATCATAAGATGTTATACCTTTTCAACCGCAGTGAAATACTCTAAGTTTGTTGAAGGAACTAGTTTCTTTGTATTTTTCAGAAAAATGACTTCAGTTTAGTTAAACTAGTTGACTAGCTAGCTAATAAGTAATAGGGCTAATACCACTGGAAAACCCGAACTATTAACTTTGTGTCATTTGTGTCCTAAAGTATTCGATATGACATTTGTGTCCCAACCTATTATAGTTTTGTGTCATTTATGTCCTGACGATTTTGTTGACCATTATATATAACGATTGACCAGACGGTGGCCAACTTGATGTTGACGTGGCAAACATGTGGCAGCCACGTAGATACCACATCATTGACACCTCATATTTTTAATTAAAATTTAAATAAAAACAAAGTGGAGAAATTAAAAAATGAATAATGAAAACACAGCCGACGGCGACGGCATCTTCAACGCCGACGGCGACACCTGGAAGTCCCAGCGCCAACTCTCCAGCCACGAGTTCAACACCAAATCGCTCCGCAGGTTCCTCGAGACCGTCGTCGACACCGAGCTCTCCGCCCGCCTAATCCCGACCCTCTCCGCCGCGCCTGCAAACACAACCGCCGCCACACTCGACTTGCAGGACATTCTTCAGAGGTTCGCCTTCGACAACATCTGCAAAATCGCCTTCGGGTACGACCTGGGTTACCTGGCTCCGACCCAGCCCGAGGCTCGATTCGCCACCGCATTCGAGAACGGGGTGCGGATTATCAGCGGGCGGTTCAATTCCGGGGTTAATACCACTGGAAAACCCGAACTATTAACTTTGTGTCATTTGTGTCCTAAAGTATTCAATATGACATTTGTGTCCTAAATTAGTTTTCCGTTAGAGTTGACATCCCAATCCCAAATTGAATGGTACCATTACATATCATATGGACACCTTCCAAAGTACTAATTGGATGGTACCATCGCGTAACATGGATACCATACTAGTTGGATGGTTCAACCCATGTTGAAACATGATGACATGGTGAGGAGTCTAGAGACTTCCTACGCCGAAAACTGACTTGCGTAGAGGCTTCGGAAGGAAGTGAGAGAGAGAGAGAGAGAGAGAGAGAGAGAGAGAGAGAGAGTAGTTGGACGAATTTGGGCAACAAAAGTGGAAGCAAGCTTCTAGAGAGAGAGAGTAGACAAACACAATCCAACTTATCTCAACTGTCCCTTTTTTCCTTTTTTTTCTGTAGTTCACGAAGATCTCCTCCACGAAGGACCATCCATAGCAGTAGTCTTAGTTGTAGTCGTGGAGCTCTCTAGGAATCTTCATAGGATGATATTTACCTGCAACCTAGTTTGCAGGCTCTGCCTACACCCTCCCCACATGGCGCCATTCTATTGGTTGATTTCCTTTTATTTTTATCTTTCTGAATTTTGCATTAAAATGGCCCACAGAAGTGGCTGTCTCACGGAAAATTGTAAAATTAATCATTAATTCATTAAATTATGAAACTAAGCTAATTTTAATTGAAAACAATAATCAATGATTTTGATTTTTCAAAATACATCCAACATGCTAGATGCATCATTTTTTAAGGCATGCATGTTAAAGTTTACGTAATTAGGATTTATGGTTCACTCATTAAAGGTTAGGATTTTGATTCGTTGAATTAGTCGGAGTTTGGAACTTGAACCCTATTTTCTTAATCATATATTTCAAGATATGACACTGTAACATGAATGGCTCGCACTTTAATGATTTAACAGTGTCATTCATGTTACAGTGTCATACTCTGGAACTAGAATTAACAACAAATGATACTGATTTGTTGAAATACATACAACGTTAGTATTTGTTGCGTATTAAAATGGTTAACATAAGTGGAAGCCTAACGCCAAATGATATTATTAGTTGATTGTAGTCGACTATACGTTAGTATTTGTTGCCGTATTAGCAGAGAAGGGTGAACAATTTACTAAGGTGAAAATCAACTAATAATATCATTTGGCGTTAGGCTTCCACTTATGTTAACCATTTTAATGCAAAATTAAAAAATAAAATAGAAGGAAATCAAGAATCAACCAATAGAATGCCTCCGTGGTGGGAGGTTGTAGGCGCTCCCTGCAAATTAGGTTGCAGGTAAATATCATCCATCTTCATAGGAGTAGTGTAAGGTATTTTTTCAGAAAATGACTTCAATTTAGTTAAACTAGTTTGAACAGTATTGAAGAGGTGTGGACCGTAGTAACAATCGTCACCTTCATAAAAATCAGCCGCAACCCATCGACCCATTTTTCCACCATTAACAGGACTATGGGATGTTTGGTCACAATTAGAGATTCAGGATGTCAAGTTTGATATAATCGACTACAATCATTACCCTTATTCCAGATAGAGGAGTGATTGATAATCAACATGTCAACTTTTTACTCCTTTTTAGCTAGAGATTGGAAGATTTCTCCACACACTTCTTCATCTACAACAACACTCAACATATGAGTGATAATGCAAGCTTTGCACTTGGATCCTTTTTGCAAACTGAGTTGGGAGCCCTTGACTTTCATAACCCTCAACAGGAACGTATTCATAATTACAATAAATTTTTTCATCGTTAATTTGTAATTTTAAATAAATCCAAATGAATATAATTAATCTCACTAATTATATATATCGACTATACTCAATATGGGTCGCTCCATAGATTGCAACCTACTGAGGGACTAGAGCTAGAATGGGACGCTAGCAGGGGCAGACCTAAGTTGGGCAAAGGTTTGTCAATTGAAAAACTCTAGATGCAATTTTGGACATAATTCCTTTGTAAAATTTTATTTTAGTGATGGTAGTATCTGTCCTCGAGATTAATTAGCAACTCTTGATAATTTTATTTTACGGTTGAATAGCCTTGGTATAATTTCTGTATCCAACTACAACAATCACTATGCGTAGCTCTTTCAAACATTATTTCTAGTTACCAATGTCCTCACAACTGAACCAGAGTATGACACTGTAACATGAATGGCTCGCACTTTAATGATTTAATCGGTATTGAGAAGTTGAAAAATCGTTAGAGAACCGGTACCATATAAACAATAATATCATAAATAGAAGAAATGTAAGATATAATATCATAAATAGAAGAAATGTAAGATAGTTATTTAATAATTTAATGATTAAAATAAAATTTATTTTACAAGTATCACTTAATAATTTTGCATATTAAATATTTTATATACATACTGAAACCCTACCCAGCACCCAACCTTACCAGTCGCCCACCTCCCATTTGTCTCAATCAGTTTTCCACCTCCGATCCCCATCTTCTCCGTCCTTCCTTACCTGACTTTTCTGTCCCAAATCCACCATTAGAATTCTCAATTAACCTCCCCTTCTTTCTCTTTGTCAACTCCCAGTTTCTAAGCACATCACTTTACGACTCCCCCACCAAAATTATTACCTCCTTTCCTTATCTTCTTCGCTTGTAGCCTCTCTCTCCTTCTTCATCAGAGCTTAAGAACAGAAGGTCCTTCTCTGTTCTACGATGACAAGAAGACCAATCGAATCGCCAGATAAAAAAAATTCATCCAGAATGCGGCAGGCAAGGGGTGGTGGTTGTCGCTGGGATTAGATGCGAACCGTTCGGGCCGCTCGTCGACCGCCCTTTCTGACTCATGCGGATTTTGGAGTGTTCCGGACCGGACTGACTGTCGGCTGTCTGTTTTACCAGTCTGACCGACCGAACCGGTTTGGCTTTAATACACATGATTACAATTAGGGATGGTAAACGATTATCATGTTAACGGTGTAACTGATAACCGAACCAGAATTAGTGGTTAACGCTCACACAAATAACTGATTAAATTGTAAATGGTCCGTTTCCAATAGCCAAATTTAGTGAATTACTAACTGAAGGTTAAACGGTTAATAACTTATGATTAAACGATTAACCGACTAACCGATTACGGTCATCCTCATAGTTAGGGCTGAAAATAATATGCCCCAATGAGATGCATAGGCTAAATATAATAGGGTTTTCCAAGCGTATAAGATCTCTTGCCTACCCTAGTTGTAATAGTGGCTTAGGTTCAAATGGTAATGATTTTAAGAAAGAGCTTTAGAAGGAGCACAATAGAAAATTGGACTATGACATAACAACACGACAATCATCAGTAACATCTTTCACATAACTTGCGGGGATATATGAGTTGAGTAATTGTTGTTGGCTTTCTTTTTCTTGTATGCTTCTTCAATCAAATTTTATAGTAGAATGGTATTATTGTATACTTATGTTGGATTGAGTTGATTATGAATTGATGTTTATATTAAATTGATTGTACTTAATGATAACAACTTTAAAAAATAATATATATGTATGTAGGAAATAATCCGTAAAAAATGAAAAATTGAAAAAAAGAAGGAGGTTGTTCATGTGACTTGAATCAGACTATCTGGCGCTACGATGGATGTCAAGGAGGTCTCGTTGTAACCGGTATGGTCCAGGGGCAGCTCCCTTAGTCCATGCTGTATGCAATGCAGTTAAAAGCGCGATTCTACCTAGAAACGGGAAATGGGTAAAATCGTAAAACGTAGAATCAAAGAGTAAAAGCGTAAGTTTTTTACGCACCCTCTAAAATAGCTAAAAATATGTTAAGTACAACATATAGTATGTAAAATGTGAGTGTGTAGATTTTAGATAAGTGAATAACTACATGAAATTCATAATTAAAATGTAATATCTAAAACATAAACTATTTTGTGTTGACTCAAAATTCGTAACCCGTAAACGAGCTTGAGAATCCAAATTCTCATAAGCTGGTTTGAGTTTACATAATTACATACGATCAATTACCGATAAACTTTTATCGTAACCCAGGTAAGAGCCACAAGTGAAGATTAAGTGAGAAGACGGATAGAAGGTCAGCGGCTGTTGAGAATACCATTAGGTGTCTTTTCAACCTAATGTGAAGCCCCTATCTCGACACTAGTTGTAGAACGAGTGATGAATCATGTTTTCCTTTTTTATTTTTTTCTGATATGTCTCCAAAATTACATCATTTCGGCCCAATTAGCACATTTTTATGAGATGATCAAAATCGTATAAAAACGCTTCAGAATCGGGATTTTACCAATTTTAAGCGATTTTACCCATGTTTTTATCAGTTTTATGACTAAGCGACTTTAGGTAGAAACTGAAACGTTTTGGTGGTCTGGATACGTAAAAATGTAAGTTTTTACATTTCAATGCGCGATTTTGACTGCACTGGCTGTATGAGCTTAATGTTATTTCAGTTTGTGTTCTTGGCTTGGTTGTAACAGCTTTTCCTTTACCGTATTGGTCTAGGTTTAGTCCTTGGAGAAGTACTATAAATACTTCTTATAGTCCTCTGTAGTCTCTATCTTCTCAAAAGTATAGTGAAACTGGCTCTCTCCTGCCCGTGGGCTAGCTAACACATAGTGTGTTAGTGAACCACGTAAATCATGTGTCGTGTGCGTTCTTGTGTTTCATTTTCTTGCTTTGTCAAATCCTCCAATTTCCCGATCCGTAAAGAAACAGTCGTGACAGAGGTCTTATGTTTTTTTTTTTACGAAAAGATTGCTTGCATTAATCAAGAACACAAAGTTACATAGGTCTAGTGATCGATTCATACTGTGCTGGTTATTGTCAGTGGTTAGCACGTTTCAATAACTACCCCATCCTAGGCCAAGTTTAATCTAAAATGGCGTTGTCATATAGTGGCAATCGAGGTCGTATTCACTCGGGTCCCGGTACCCTAGCCTACTTCCGACGACGTTATTATCTAGCCGATCAGTTTAAGGGGTTGTGTTGGATGATTCAAGCGAAATGACTAGTAAAGAGAATAAATAAGGATAAAAGTAGGTACTTCGGGGAACTATCCCTCACCCTAGCCTAGGTCTACTATGCAATGTCTAAATAAGTTGGGTTTAGCGAATGTGGTGAGTGAGCTATTTTCCATGGGCTTTCGTTGTTATCCACATGCCTCCCCTAAACCAATGTCAGTCACCTCTATCTAGGCAACTGTATCTGGGGCTTAAGAACATAACTTATTTCAATAGGGCAAGTATCTATATATCGACCCGGGCCGGTCCGTTTACCCCTACTTCGGTTGTTGAAATCATTATCTAGCGATAAAACTTTGGTTTAAAGGTTTGCCAATTGAA